AAGAGCCACAGTGGACACATGCCAACAGAGTGGACATACCTGTGAAGATGATAGCCCACACGCCCAGCTATAGTGAATCACTGGTGCGAGAGTGTGCCCCTAGTCAGGACAAACCCTGTGATATAATTTACACTCCAGAGGTCCCCTAACAGGATGAGACAGAGCTGGGACTCAGCCTAAATCTCACCTTTGCTTGGCTTCCTGCACTTTGCTCTTGCCCCCACTCCTCCCATACTGGTTTCTCCTAGAAGCACTTTTTTTAAAAAAATAATTTATTTCTTCGAGAGAGAGAGCCAGAATGAGCAGGGGGGAGGGGCAGAGAGAGAGAGAGAGAGAGAGAGAAGCAGACTCCCCGCTGAGTAGGGAGCCCGGTGCGGGGCTCTATCCAGGACCCTGGGATCATGACCTGAGCCAAAGGCAGATGCTTCACCGACTGAGCCATGCAGGCGCCCCTTAAAAGCACTTTCTTAATGAAGCACTTCCACATCAATCTACAGCCCAGAGTCAGCTTTTGGAGAACTAGGCTAAGACCATCATCTAGTTGCGTGGGTTTGGGAAAGGATCTAGATGTCTAATCATTCTATCAAACTTGCAACTAGTTCTTCTGTTTTCAGACCTGACTCAAGTCCCCACACTAGCATGGGTTTTGAGAACCTCCCATTCCTGAACATTTCTAGTGTTCCAGGAAGCCGTGGCTTCTGGAAGTTTGCGACAATTGTAGAACACTCTCCTGTACTGCCATTTTTATTCAATTTTAAGTTACACTTCAGTGACACCTTCAGCTTCATAGTGTCTATTCTTCCCAATGTCTTAGGTACAACTCACTCTCCTCTTAGCAGTGTAAACATTAGTAGAAAAACATGCAGAAGTCTGACCTGACTTAAAGCTCTAGAAGTGAAGCAGTTGTATAGGGTTAAACAACTTTACCAGCTGTGTGATGACAGGGAAGTTACTGAACCTCTGAGTCATATAATAGGTCATATAATATGCTTATCACAGTGCCTGTCATACAGTAAGTCCTGTCCTTTGAGTTATTTTCCGCTGGTAATAACGAGTTTGTGGTACTATCACACTATGCCTTCACCTAGTTCTCACCATTTCTGAGATGTTTGCTCAAGGTTAAGGGAATAGTCTAAGGCAGTGGTTCTAAAAATGTAGTCTCCAAATGAGCAGCAGCATCCAGAAGTTGTTAATAGTGCAAAGTCTCAGGCCCCACTCCAGACCTACAGAATCAGAAACTCTAGGGATGGAGCCCAGCCATGTGTGTTATAACAAGCCCTTTAAGGGATTCTAATGTGTGCTCACATGTGAGAAATACTGACCTAAGGCCACAGATCAGAGACAAATAGAACAGACCCCCATAAAGATGAAGGCCAAGACCTAGAGCCAGTTAGTGTGGTATTGAAGACTGTAGGCAGAACTAATGAATATACATAACCACTCAATGATTAGTGATAGGAGGAAGTCACAATTATACTTTTATTATTAGAGCAATGTAAATATTTAAGATCATGATATAAATGAATATAAACAGGAGTTAGGAGCTAAAGAGTAAAATGTTAAGTTTGTAGAATTGACAGTGAGCCTATATTACATAGTCTTGAAACGCAAATAGAAAAGTGCATTAATGCAAGAAAAAACATAAGTTCTGGGCCCAGAAGCTTAAGAAACACTTGAAAGAATCCTTAATTGTATTAATCCTTTTCTGAAACAAGCTACCAAATATACATGATCTGGAACATTTGCTGAGGAAAACTCATTTGACGTTGTCACTTCACCAGAGATACAACTATTGAAATTCGGCTCAAATTCTGAATTAGTGCCACGCAAGCAAATGATCTTTAGAAGCAAAGATGACAACTTAAGAGAGTTTGCTCAATCTGCCACTCAGATTCTGGGGGAACAGACCAAGAAACATTCCACCATCACTTGCATAGCAATTTCCAGTCGCTGAAAGCCAATTAGGCCATTTACTCTGAGGAGCACAAGTCAGAGACACAGGAAAGCCAATTCCTAGAATAAGTCTGCAAAGGGCCTGAAATTTTCAGAAGAGAAAAGAACAGCCCTTTTCCCAGAGAAAGCAAAGTGCAGAGGGCAGCACGCATAGGTTCGTCTTTCAGGGCTGATGACCAGCCACTTGATTTACTCTGACACACAATCTCTCTGAGCTGCTCAGCTTCATCTCCTGGGTGGCATAGCAGAGGAGGTTTCCCTCCAGCCCTTATGGCCTCTGTGTGAAGATCTCAAAGCTCTGCTGTTGTGTTCGGGGGCAGAGCAGCTCTGAATGCCACCACAGGGAACATTAGACAGACTGGCTGAATGTCCAAAAATCATAGCTATATTATTTAGCCAGCACAGAGTCTTGCTTCACATTAACAACAATCATACTTAAAACACTAATAATGGCTGACTTAGAGTCTTTACTCTGTGCCTAACAGACCCTCTGCTAAGCACATTACGTGCCCATTCTCACTGCATCTTCATAACACACCTACAAGGTGAGTGCTGCTTGTACTGCATTTCGCACATGAGGAAATTCAGCCTCAAAGATGCTATGAAACCTGGCTAAGGTCAACCAACGATTGTGCTGGAGCCAGGATCCAATCCCAGAGCTATCGGATTCTGGAAGTTCTGCTCTTAAACACAATGTTGAATGCCTTCATTGAGAGTCCAACCTATTTCAACAGTTGCAATCTGTGATGCACGTGCAATTCTCTTTGCCTCACAAGGAAAGAAAATTTCAAATAGTAAGGTTATGTTATTGAAATGTGCATGAGGATAATACTTCCTTTCTGGATGAGCACTGGATCTCTTCAGCCTTAGATAGCTGTATAGTCTGTTAGGAATGTGGCTCCCTCCTAAAGTCATTGTATAAGTGGAGATTCAGCTGGTCCCCACAGTGAGTGCTTTGAGATTGGTGATGTTTTGGTTGCCATGGACACCAGATTTCAACACACCACTGAGCACGGGAAATCCATTCCATGCAAAGCAATGGAGCCAGCAGATGGGCACAGTGACAGCTAACTGCACATAGTGCTATGACCAATATTTGTTTTGCCACCTCTAATTTAGATGATGTTCTCACCCATCAAGTCTGTAAGACTGCCTCTCATCTGAGAAACAGCTTCTTTATGGGCCAGGTAGCAACACTCACACTTCAATGTGTCAAAGTCATTCGTTTGTCTGGGTTGTTGGATGGGTAAAGCTATTCAGAAAAGAAAACCTGATCTTAAACAAAACACTTCCTTGTTCAGCTTGCGAAAAAATGGATCAAATGACTTCTTGAAAATTTAAATTGTCCAAGTGGCTAGCACCCCAAAAGTAATGAGTCTGTTAACTTGGTGCATTTCCCTAGTAACTCAATCCATAAAGAAAATAATTAGGCAAAGGTAAGTGGTACTTATATATAAATAATTCATGGAAACATGTTTTTCTTTGGGACAAACCAAACATCCAAGGCATTGTACTTAATGAATATAGGTCAGAGATCAATCAGCGAAAGTCAATCATGAAGAAAAACACTTACTTGACCACACCACAGATTGTTGGCCAGTTTACCAAGAGACCATCACCATGTGGGGATATTAAAGGACCTCCCTACCACATGGAGGAAATCTACTGTGCGTTTTGTAGGGGCCAGTCACATGACAAACATCACTCATTAAATTAACTGACAAAAATGAAAACAGCCAAGTTAATAAAAAATTAATACAACCTATCATTTTCATATTCAGAGGTCAATAAATACAGTGAAATTCCATTAAAACAACCTCTTATAGAACACTGGGAGGTTAAATTATTGGCAAAAAAATTCAATCCATTTAAAAGAATTTTTACTATGCACGTTTCCCCCCAATTTATCCCATAATAAGAAAAATTACAAGCCATGTTCTCGCCAAATAATTACAATGCAAACAATAAGCTTAGGTTTTAGTGGAATGTATTTATTAGATGAAAAGGTATAAATAAATTCTAAGGAAATCTACATTACTGAGGTTTGTTAAATCATTGTATCGTAAAAAAGAAAAAGGAAAAGGTCTAAGCATTTTCCATTTAAATTAATTTAGAATGGGGGCAGCACTACTTTATGTCACACAAGTAAATTTAATTAAATGATCCTAAAATGGGAGTGGTTCCTTGAACATCAAGATCATGTTTTCTATCTGATCTGGAAATGTAATAAAGTGTCTCTTCTATTATTATGAACTAATTTAAAACTGCTGGAACTTGGACTATTTGGGCCTTTAAAGAAATTCTAAAAAAAAAAAAACAAAACAAACCCACAACCCCTTGTATATATAGTGCAAAATTATATTTATCAGGAAGAAAAAAAGGAATCCATACATTCATTCACAGATTGTTAAGAGAGTTCTTAAACCTGCAAGGAGATGTGCCTGCTTAGCAGGGAGTCTGCTTCTCCCTCTCCCTCTGCCTGCTGCTCCCCCTACTTGTGCTCTGTCAAATAAATAAAATCTTTAAAATGAAGTAGAAAATCTAAACAGACCAATAAGGAGTAAGGAGATGGAATCAGTAATCAAAAATCTCCCATCAAAGACAGACCAGGACCAACTGGTTCTGAAGAATTCTACCAAGCAATTAAAAAAGAATGTCAATCCTCTCAAATTCCTCCAAAAAATTGAAAAGGAGGGGATACTTCCAACTCATTTTATGAGGCCAGCATTACCCTGACACCAAAGCCAGATAAAGGCACTACAGGCCAATACCCCTAATGACTAAAGATGCAAACATTTGCAACAAAATACTAGCAAACCAAATTCAACAACACATTAAAGGATCATACAACATGACCAAATGGGATTCATCTCTGTGATGCAAGAATGATTCAACATATGCTAATAAATGTGATACAGCACATTAATAGAAGGAAAGACAAAAAGAATCATAGGATTATCTTGAGACATGCAGAAAAAGTATTTGACAAAATTCAGCACCCAATTATGATAAAAACTCTCAACAAATTGGGTATAGAAAGAACATACCTCAACATGATCAAGGCCACTTAAGAGAAGACCACAGCTAACATCATACTCAATGATAAAAGGTTGAATGCTTTTCCTCTAAGATCAGGAACAAGACACGGGGGTGCTCACACTCACCATGCCTAGTCAACATAGTACTAGAAAAAATACTAAAAGACATGAAACCACAAAAGACCCTGAATAGTCAAAGCAATCCTAAGGAAGAACAACACAGTTCGAGGCATCACACGTCCTGATTTTGAACTATATTACAAAGCTATAGTAATCAAAACAGTATGGTACTAGCATAAAAACACAGACCAATGAAAGAAAATCAAAAGCCCAGAAATAAATCCACACATATATGGTCAACTAGTATCTGACATGGGAGCCAAGACTACTCAATGGAGACAAGATAGTTTCTTCAGTAAGTTGTGCTAGAAAAACTGAATAACCACATGCAGAAAAGTGAAATTGAACTCCTATCTTACACCACTCACAAAAATTAACTCAAAATGGATTAGACTTAAACATAAGACCTGAAACTGTGAAACATGAAGAAAACAAAGAAAACGCTCCTTTACATTGGTCTTAGCAATGATTTTCTGGATAGGACACCAAAAGCACAAGCAACAAAAGTAGAAATTAGTAAATGGGACTACATCAAACTGAAAAGCTTCTGCACAGCAACGGGAACTATGCATCCCCATGTTCATGACAACATTATTCGCAACAGCCAAGGAAGTGGGAGGTCATAAGACAGACCTTGCCAAGGGGCGTCAGGAGGCAGACATTTTGGTATCCACTCAACAGCTTCTCCTTCTCCTTCCTCTTTTCTTGTCAGAACGTGCATTCAATGATCCAGGTTAAAAATGAAGGACACTAGTCTTCCCAGCCTCCCCTGAAACCAGAAGTGGCCAGTGACTACGTGCTGGACAATAAGGCAGAAGGGAAATTCTTCAAGTATAAAATGTTTTATATGATTTTTTTTAAAGATGCAAGAAAAACGCCTCAGACCCTTCCTTTCTACTTTAGTTGTATGGGAACATAATGCTTGGAATGACAGTAGCCATCCTGCAACCCTAGAGAGTAGGACGCTCCTACACTGAGAATTGCAGAGAAAAAGGTTGGAAAGGGCTTGGGTTCTGATGACTTTCTCGAGTTGCTGGACCAATCTGTAATGGCCTAGCTCTACACCCCTTAGAAAGTGAGGTAATAAATGTTCCCATTATTCAGAGCACTTTTTATTGGACATTCTATGATTTGCAGCTAAAAGTATCCCCACTTACACAGCTGCCAACCACCTGCCTTAGGAATGAGCCCAAGACCCAATTAACAATCTAGCAATAGATACATATAATTACGGCAGGAAGATAGATTCCTTGTATTCGGTACGATTTTCTATATGATGTTCAGAATCACTTTGATTTTCTGTTAGTAGACACAAAAGGGAACAGCATTGATTCCATTAAGTGGCTACTGTGTGCCAAGCACTATACTAGGCACTTTATCTAAAGCGAGTCACCACAGCAACTTCCAGACCAGTCCCCTTTGGCTGGGGAAATAAAATCACATCTGTATTTCCTCAAATCTCATTTGAACAATTTAGCATTTCCTTTCATTACAAATGCAGACCACAAACCACCCAAGTACTTGTGACTTTGCCACCTATAGAAATCACAGCTAATTTCCTATCACACGGCAGTTGTTGAAGACAGCTCGAAATATCATTGACCCTCATCACTCTTTCAAAGGTACCATAATCCTTAGGCTTGCTGCAAAATCTTGTTATTTAACGTGTTAATAAAGAAACACAAATGCTACTGCATCACAATTTTTTAAACGTTTTGGTAACTGAATGTCGATATAACTGGCTTCCTTTGTAATCCTAAGTGTTTGATTTTATGCCCCTAAAAATGATATTCTAAGAGGTATCGATGGCATCACCAGATTTACAAAGGAGTCCTTGGCACAAAAGGGGTTTAGGCCCCCTGAAACTAGTGCCCCTTGTGACTGTTCAATCTGCTGTCCATGCAGAAAACCCGGTGATCTTTTTTAAAAGTAAGTAAGATGAAGACATGACCATTTAAACCTGAAACAAGCCCCAGCTCCTGACTGACCTGGCTCTGCAGGATCTGGTTTAAGCTGGCTCAAGGCTCCTACCCGGTTGGGGGCTCTCCCATCCCTCTAGCCCTGGCTCACTCTGCACCCATTACGCAGGCAGCCTTCCATTTCTTTGAAATCTCCAAGCAGATTCCCAACTCGGGGGGCTTCAAACTTGCTGTCTCCTCTGCCTGGAATGCCTGCTCTTAAAGCAGCAGCTTCGTGCTCAGGCTTCAGTGATGAACTAGGACATCACCTCCACAGAGAAGTCTTCCTCGCTACTGTCTGCCAAGCAGCACCCCTCCCCTCTCCTATCCTGCCCCGTCCCCAGGTATTTCCTGTTTACTTCCTTCAGAGCACTTGCCACAACATAATTATATTGACTTCTGTTCACTACTAAGTCCTGGCATCTAGCAAGGGGCCTGGCACATGTAAAAACCTGACATTCATGGAATGAAGGAATAAACGACAGAAGTAAGTGAAAAGGAAGCTATCATTCATCCATTTCACAAGTGAGGAAATTGAGGCTCCGACATGTTAAATTATTTGTCCAAGGTCATCCAGCGGCAAAGTTATTATTTTAACTGTGGTCCCTAGGCCTCTCCTTTATCCCTCCACCATTTCTTTCTAAATTCCTTTCCCTGCTACATTTTCACCCATCTGGAAAGCAGAATGGACCCAATATAAGTTTTTATGGTGTGATTTCATAGGGCTTCAGTGCCCCATTGCTCAAGGATATCTGCTTAACAAACCATCAAAACTACTTCCCTTGAGTATTTCCAGGAGAGCCAAATTGAACAAAAATATCTTACCTGGTTAGAGTGCCTCTTCCTGTTGCTGTCTCTCTACGTACATTGACACACGTGTTTTCTCATCTCTGATTCTTATCAATGCAAACAATAAAATCAGATGGAAGGAAGACAAGTCAAAAAAGGGTAGACTAAGGAAGAAAAAATCTAAACCCCAAATTAAACGCTAGTATGGAGAACTATATAAGGCACTTTACACCAGCTTATGTGGGCAATTCTGGCCATAGGCTTCCTAATAGCCAGCCTCAAGAGAGAAACATGTCAGTTATGTGACATATTCTGAAGATTAAAAAAAAATCAATTTCCAGGAAGAGCACAACTATTTCTGTACTCTAAGTACTGAGAGAAATTCCCCTTGTGGGTCCTTATAATGAAAGCATGATAGGATAATCAGTATTCTCAACTACAACCTTATAAAAAAAATATATCCGGCTTCAGAGAATGGTGTCTTATAGCATACATAGCTCAACAGACAGGACTGGTATGCCAAAACCTATGCAACACGGCATTGCCTTGCTCTTTAAAGCGTGATCCCTGGACCAGCAGCATCACCTGGGAACTTGTGAGAAATGCAGAATCTCAGGCCCAATGCCAGGCCTGCTGAATCAGTCCATATTCTATTGACAAGATCTGCAGGTGATTCCCGTGAACGTTAAGTTTAACAAGCACCAGTCTAAAGGTTAAGCTTGATCTGAAATTTCCAAGAAAGTGGTATTCATTTATTCCGGCAACACATATTTACTGAGACCCTGGTGACAGGAAAGAGGTCCTACCAATAGGGCATATTCCTACCAGTATGACACCAAAAGCACCACCATAAAGGAAAATATTGATAAATGGGTTACCATTCAAAATGAGTGGCAAAGCAAGTCATAAACAATATTTGCAATAATCCCAAAAGAAAAGGTGAGAACCTGAATATGTCCCAGGTACCATCTTAATGATGGGCATATAGCAATAAAATAAAAACTCTCTATACGTATAGAGCTTACCTTCTAATTGGAAAAGACATAAACAAGTAAAATGGAACAAGTAAAGGGCATCAAGTCAGAGGACAAGGTTGCAGTTTCATAGAGGGTGAACAGGGAAGGCTTCACTGAAGAGGTAGCGACCTATACAAGGTCAAAGAGCTAGCTATAAAAATAGCTAGGGGAAGAGTACTCCAAGCAAAGGGAACAGCGAGTACAAATACCCCGAGACAATAAATGCCTAAAACAGCAAGAAGGCCAGTGTGGTTGAAGCAGAGTGAGCAAAAGTGGAATAGGTATGCAGGGGGGGCCAAATCATGTGGGGCCTTCTCGGCCATATTAAGGCTCTGAGCTCTGAGAAAGATGAGAAATCACTGGAGGAAAGGTAATAGGGTGCCTCTGCAGGATGCTGAGTGGGGAAATGGCATAATGAAGTGCTTTTAAGATTGGTTTCTAAGAGATAAGTGTAATGGCTTGAGAGAATCCAGCTGAGTATATTGCACTAATCCCAGTAAATGGGGATTCATTCATTCATTGATTTATTAGGTGCCAAAGCTGTGCCAAGTAGTGTGGGGAGGATCTAGAGTAGGGTGATAACTGAGGGAATTGCCAGAGGAAAGTGAATATAAATGACATTGGAAGGAAAGAAACCCAGGACACAATAACAGATTATATTTATAGAGAAATGACAGAAGTTGGCAACTCAATTTAATCAACATTTATGGATCATCTACTGAGGGCAAAGCCATATGCTGGCTAGGATGCGGGAGTGGGGATGGCGCAGAAGACTTATTTTCCCCTCATAAGGGCTTCCAGCCAGGCGTGCTTAGCCCCTGCCCTGCACTTTTCAAGCCTGAATTTCTCAGATTACTGCAGCTGAGGCTGGCACTGAGACTGGCTTATTTGCTCAGGTTAAGAGCTGTTTTTTTTTGGGGGGGGGTGGTTTAACCCTCAGAACTTGTTCTGTCTCCTGGGAGTAGGGGCCAAAGCACCTCAAACTGATTAGTATTAAGACAGATTTGGTTTGGCAGGAGGGCGGCAGAGAGGTCTTTTTTTTTTTTTTTTGGCAGAGAGGTCTTAATAAATGTCTTTTTGGATCAGCGTTGCAGACTGGCCCTGGGCCACCAGTTTTGGGGCAATGAGTCCTTGAGGTCTGTTTCCACCTGTATGACCTGATGGGTCTCCCACTCTTTGCCACTCCATTCTGGAGAGAAGGCCCCAAGGCACAAAAAGGGAAAGCAGGGGAAAAAAAAAAACCCCAAATTTGAAAATTGCCTACCACCAGACAGCAAGGTCTGAGCAGCAGATGCAAATGTAATGCAAATGATATGTAAATAGCCCCGTGGCCTTCTAAAAGGTTTTATACAACTGGAAGGGCCCTTGGGGAACTGCTAGCAGATAACAGTGACTCAGAAGCAGAGTGAACTATTTCAAGACAACTTTGTCACACAGATCTTTGCTGCCGTTCTAGCATAGTGCACAGTCTTTAGTGATGTTTTTCTCACTTGGATCAACCTCACCTTCTATAAATAAAAAAAATCAAGTCTGCCTCTGTTATCTTAGAAGTTATCTAAGTTAATTAGACTTTAAAAATACTGTGTACCTTTAATTTTTCTTCAAACGCCTCTTTCACCCAAATAAAGTCATGTTCAATGTGTCACTTCCTCCCTAGAACAATATTTGGCTCCACTGGGTTATGAATGAAAATGCCTCGCTTTCAGTTCTAGTTACTCTGATCCTTTGGAGGATTTTTTTTCCCCCTACTCCACAGGAACTGGCACATTCTCTTCTAATAGTCACATGCTGTATTCAAAGTGAATCCAGGAAAAAAAAAAAAAGCAAACCCATATGTAGTTGTGAAATCCAATTCACTTCAAGGAGCCACTGGAAAGCTATTCATTGAGAAAACCTGCCCTATTAAGAACGCTGTCGTCTAGACAAATCCTATCTACGCGTTTTAGAATGAAAAATGCACATTCGATTCCAATGGGGTAAACTTCCGTCTACATTTATGCATTTAAAAGAGGACACCCCCATCAGATAGGCATTTTAAAAGAGCCCTGAGATGAACTGAATAGTAAGCAACCACAGTCAGCACATCAGACCCGCAGCTGGGCAGTAATTCTGGATTACAGACCGAGGCACGCGCACGCGCACGCGCGGGGGTGGGGGGGCAGTCGCCAAAGCCATTTACCTCCACGTTAGCGATGGAAACAATGATAGTCTAACCAGCCCCCCAAACTTCCAATACTCTTAACATTCGAGGGTGCTTCAGCTTTTTGACAGGAAGGTCAAAGGAAGGGAAATCCCTTTCATTTTCGAGGAGTTTTTTTTTTTTCTCCCTCACTTGAAAGGGCCTCCAGGAAGCTGTTGGGCAAAGAGGCATCTGGGGAGATGCCACGTTCGGTGTAAAACAAAAACAAAGCGCAAAGACGCGGAATCCCAATAAATGAGAGACTGAAAAAGAGAGGAGGGAAGACGGACAAAAACAAGAGGTGAACCTCTGGAGACTGAGGAAACGACAGCGCCAGACAGAGTAACAAAGAGAAAGAGAAGAGTCGGGGGCGCTGCTCCCGCAGCCGGGAGTCCGGGGAAGGGCCGGGCAGGCGGCGAGCGCCCCCCTGCGGCCGGGGCTGCCTCTTACCTCCTGGGCGAGTTTCTGCTTGAGCACCAGCGCGGCGCACAGGTAGCCCGCGCGGCCCACGAACAGCTCGTCCGAGCCGCACTCTAGGAAGGAGACCGGCGCGCAGACGGCGCACAGAGCCCGAAACTTGCCGAGCGGCTGCACGTAGTCGGACCGGCCCAGGGCGTGGTACACGAGCGTGGCCACGGCGTACACGCCCGCTCCCCCGAGCAAGAAGGCAGCGCGGGTGTCGGCGTCCGGCTCGCCCCACTCCTCGGCGCGGGCGCACGCGTCTATGAGGCGCTTGGCCGAACGCAGGTAGCGCTCCCGGGCCCCGGCAAAGAGCGGGCTCTGCGAGACGTGGTAGAGCATGTAGGCCACCCCGGCCACGCCGCCGTACAGCCCGCCTTGGCAGCTGCTGGCCGCGGCCGCCGCCCCCCGGGCCTCAGCGCCGCCCCCGAGCGGGGGCAGCTCCTGAAGGATGCGCTCGATAGTGGCGGTGACCAAGGGCGCCACCGCCTCCTCGCACTGGCCCGCCAGCAGACTGCCCTGGTAGTCATCGAAGCGGTTGGCGAAGCAGCGCTTGGTGTCCATGCTGCTGCCCGTGCCCCCCAATGCTGGGCCGGGGTCCGCTGGAGGGCGCGCCCTGCAGCGCCGCGCACCACCTCTCGCTCTCGGAGGCGCACGGCTGGCGGTTGATGCGGCGGGGATGGAGCAGGGAGGCTGAGACGGGAGGTGACTAGAGGAGGCGGGCGCGAGGAAGAAGCATGGAGCGGATTGCCAAGTGGGGCACCGGGCTGCCGCGAAGCTCGCGAGTGGCCCGGGCCGGCGCGGGGGATGCGCGTCGTACGCCCCCCTCCGAGAGGCCGCGCCCTCACCGAACCCGCCCCCTCCTGCGCCGCCGCAGCTCGGCCGCCTCTCCAAGGGGCCGAGGTGATCTCCGGCAGGACCCACTCGGGGCCCGCGCCACTCCTCCCGCTCCGCCCCCGGCTCCTCCCTTCCCGGCGGAAGGCCGGGGACGTGCGGGACACCGATCCGGAAAGCTGAGGCTGGGCACACACACACCTGGCGCTGGAGGTGAAGACCTCGAGTCCCTAGTACACTCAAAGTGTGGTCCTCGAGTGGGCAGATCAGCATCACCTGGGAGCGTGTTAAAAACGCAGCAGCTCAGACTTCGCCCCAAACCTATCGAATCAAATCAGCATATTTAACAAGATCCCCAGGTGATTCACGTGCACATTAAAGGTTGAGAAGCCACTGAACTGGGGGTGGGAGGTGGGAAACTAGGAAAAAACGGAGCGCCCTCCTGAAACTTGTTTTGTCATCTTGGTCACTTTGGAATTCTCATTCTGAATATTTCAGTCCCAAAGGCTGAGGGCTTTGAGTACATCACGTGTCAAGCATGGAATCGGTGGAAGGCCCCATAGGGAAATTTTCTTGGCCTTGGTTGTCGTGTTGCTTTTCTTGGAGTACACAGGAGTAAAAATTCAAAGAACTACATACACCAGGTTAAGGTAAGAGGGTGGGGGGTTCTGTCTTTCTCCTACTCTAGAGACCCCTCCCTCCCATGCATGCATAGTAAGAGCCTAGTAAATATGGTGACGTCATTTACTAGTTAATATAAGGGCAAATGCTGCGTGAGAATTTTCGGCATTTTTACCCTTTTCTGCGGTTCCTTAGTTAACCTCTTTCCTCCCTTCCTTCCTCCTCCTGTTTCTTCCCTTCTGCTTTCCTTCTGCAGGCGTTATTGAGGGTCTCCTATGTGTCCTGGACTCTGGAAATAGATGGATAAACAAAGTAGACACGGTCCTAGACCTCTTGGAGCGTGCAGTCCACTGGGAAAGACAGAAAATGAACAATTACACAAACAAGTTGCCTTTCTTTCGTTCAGCTGTTTTAAAATAATTTTTCCATTCCCAAAGTGTTGACAAGTGAAGGCCAAAGAGGTCACCTCTCCCAGGGGTATTTGCATTTTGATAGGGACTGTACGAGACACAAAAGAATAAGTGGCTCTTGGAAAAGTTTCTGACACTTGGTGGGGAGAACAAATGCTCCACTTACTTGAAGGGCCAGTTTTGTTTGGAGGCAGTTTTTTCCTCAAAAGTGGTAATTGTCACAATGATTTGGAAGCAGAGATTAAATAGCCTGCCCCTCTGTCGATGCATTCTGGAAAAGGAGCTCTGTTTGCCAGGATTACTGCCAGGACTAACACATCCACAGAGTAGATGCTGTGGCCTCCATCCTCCTATAACACTGCCAAAACAGGTTTATTTTGAATTATAAAAAAGCTAAGTTCACTTTTAGGCAGGGAGCTTGATGGGTTAAGGGTATCAAAGAAGCAACTGGAATAGTTCGCTTCTCCTTGGGCCTTTTTCCTCATGCCTCAATCGTGGTAAACATTAGGAGTGACTTTTGTCCCTTCCAACAAGGAGACCTAAAATGCAAACTTTCACAGGCAGGAATGAAGCCTTATTCCACTTCGTTGCTCCACACCTCCCCCTTGTCATGAATCTAGAGGCAACTCTGTTAATTTTGACTTCGATTATCCTTTCACAAATCCCAGCACGAGGGTAGCACCGGCAGCAATGACAGGGCCTTGTGCTCACAGACTTCAAAAACAAAAAAACAAAAACAAAAAAACCAGTGAGCAGGTCTCAAGAGAAGGCACTCTGCCCTTTCCCAGTTGTGTCACCTCCTCTGTTGCCCCAAAATGCTGCATAGCAAGCAACCACAAAATTTTGTAGCCTGTAACAATAAGTTTACTGCTCATGCATCTGGGATCTTGGCTGGGCTCATTCATGTGTCTGGGGGTGGGCTGGCTGTTGCTTGGGGAGATTGGTGCAACTGGGCTCTAGTTCACATGTCTCTCATCCTCCAGCCAACCCCAGCATGCCCGCATGGCAGTGGCAGAGAGGTAAGAGCCCAGGTGAAAACGTGCAAGACTTCTTTAGGTCTGGTCTTAAAGCTGACACATTTTTACCTGCCTTAATGTATTGGTAAATCACATGAAAAATGCAGGGTGTCTTTATGGAACTGCAAAGTATATGACAAAGGGTGTGTATACAGGGTGGGGTGAATTATTGGGGCTTCTAGGGGTTTTGGACAGTGATGCCAACAAGTAGAACAGAGGTCACCAGATGGATGTGAAACAGCATGATTTGGGAGAGGCAAGAAGTTAGCAGTATCCAGAAGCCCTCTTAAACTCATAGGACAAATTAACCCTTTTCCCTATAAATGTCTTTCCCGAAGACCCTACCACTTGGTCTGTTGCACAATCACCTGGCAAAACTTCAGTCCAGAGCATCCTTCAGGGTGGAGCTAGCTCTTTAGACCACATGAGGCCTTGCCTCCCATTGCCATTTACTTAATTCGCAAGCAGTATTGCTTATTTTAATATCATGACTCCACCAGAATACATTCTCCATGGGGGTAGGGCTTTTTGTTACATTTATTTACTGGTAGGCACCAAGAGCCTAGAATAGTCCCTGGCACATGTATTGGGCATTCAATAAAGGTTTGTGAAATGATGAATGACTTACTATGAGAGCATCACAGCAAGGGAACCTGGAGTGTAGAATGCAGAATAAAGACGTTGTTGAAAGTTTACCCTGACTTGATGAAACCCTCACTGTTTTCTTGGATCCTTTTGCTCTTATGAATGCAAGAATGTAAACATTCTGCAGTTTCCGCTTCCTTTCTTTGTCTCCACAGACTGGTGACCTATACACTTTACAGTGACGTCACACAATCTGTTTTTACTAACTAACCAGGTGTAGGAGATTTCTTTTTCCAAATACGGCCCTAATGACATCTCCTATGCCACGTGTTCCTCTACAATCGGACACTGACATTCCTCTCATCAGACGGTAGGGTATGTGTCCCCTCTTCTTGAATCCGAGTGCACTTATAACTAACATAACCAGTAGAATGTGAGTGAAATTATACTGCATGGCATCCAAATATTAAAAAAAAAAATGGTGCAGCTTCCATGTTACATGCTGGACCACTCCTAGTTGGAGCCTTGAACCACCTTGTAAGAATCTGACTATGCTGAGGCGGCCATATTGTGAGGAAGTGCAGACAACATGAAGAGGCCACTTACAGGTGCTTGCGTTGACAGCCCAGCTGACAGCATCAGCTGACAGCCATTTGAATGAGCCACCTCGGATATACAGTCCAACTGAGCCCTCAGATGACAGAAGTTCTATGAGAACCACCATCCCAATCCCTTCCAGAATTCCTGACCCACAAAATTATGAGCAAAAGAAAGTAGTTGTTTTAAGCTACTAAGTTTTAGGGTAATTTGTTGTGCAGCAAAGGTAAGTAGAATAGCTTGCTAGCTTCCCATCATCCAATGCCATAAAGTCCCCTATAATCTGTACTGCCCCCTCAACAGGGCAAAAAATAGGAAGAGGAATATTTTGGGGAACTCTGCACAGGGAGACAGGAAGTATGGAGGCACACAGAAAATTGTGTTCCAAAATAATAATTCTAGATGGATTCTTTAGAAGTAGCAATGACCCCACAAAGAAATATGCAGCCTATACAAAATCTTGCCAAAGGCAGTTATTTTGCCCTTATCTGCAAGATTTGTCCTGATCTTTACAGAATCTCTAGCAGCATTTGCTGACAAGCAGCTCCCAACACATGGTTTCTGTGATCTTGCTGAATTGCCCAGTTCCTAGTTCTTCCTCAGGATTTCCTTATTATGCAGATTATGCAAAACTATGGATGGAAAATAGTTTTAGTGGGTTCATCAAGGAAGCCACATAAAAATTATGCAAAACTATCCAGGAAGAAAATATTAAAATCAAAGGGTTTCTCTGATGCAAATCATTGCTCTCTCAGGGTGAATATGGGGAAAAAAAAAAAAAACTCAGTAATTTTATAACTGTCAAACCTCAACACTTAAGGGTTAGTACATTTTATGGGATAAACGATCTTAAAAATACTTCCAGAAAGTTTTCTGAAGTTTTGCTCCAAGGGCTCATCCTAGAAATGGTTTAGTTGACTCAATCAGAGCTATGTCTAGTCCTTATAGTACATTCTCTTTGGAAATGCTGCTCTGATTTTTTAGCTTAGTTACCTAAACCTTGGAGACCTCTCCTGCTTCTGCTCTTTTGTCCCCTGAAGACCCTTCTCAAAATAGCAGCCTGAAGAAGTCAGATCCTATCTTCTGATTTATGTCAGTGTTGCACCTGTCCCTCAAGGTAAAATCCAGAGCCCATAGGACAGCCCAAAAGGCCCACTGCCATCTCGCCCTTCTTACTTCTCTGACCCCCCTCTTATTCTTTTTCCCCTTGTTCCTTCAATTCCAGCCACACTGGCTGCCTTGATACTCCTCAGACATGCTAGTCAGAGCCTTAACTTGGAAAATAATCTTTGGGGGCACCTGAGTGGTCACTGGTTAAGCAACTGCCTTCGGTTCAGTCCCAGGATCGAGTCCTGCGTCTGGGCTCCCTGCTCAGCAGGGAGTCTGCTTCTCCCTCTGACCCTCCCCCCTCTCGTGCTCTCTCTCTCTCTCTCTCATTCATTCTGTCTCTCTTTTCTTTGCAGTTTTCTCTTTCTGGAATACTCTTCAAAAGATATACTTGCCCCTTCACCTCTCAATGAAGTCTTCTATAACTTATCATTTAAATTATAACCTTCCCCTGCCAACCATTAGTATCTACTCACTATATA